AAGACCATTAACCAGTTAAGCCCCATGCCCCCGGTACCGGGGGCAAAACGCAACATCTTGCAAGAAACAGCGTCTGAGTGCTTCTTAACATTTAACAAACTATGAATGTGTCATACCCACTTAACGGGAAGAAACTCAGCTATCAGACAATATTAACCATTTTTAGCTAAACGAAATTTAGCCTCTGAATAAGCTAAAAAATGCTAACGCACTTAGCACAGAACTCATGGTAGAAATATTGCTTACTTATCGGATCTGCACAAACAAAATATCATATGAAAGCTGAGATTCCACAGATTCCAGAGCTATGAGTATCATCACTGTGCGACAAAACTCACCGCAGCTAAGGCAAATCCAGATAACACACAACTTAGCTTTACGGAGCCAAAACGGCCAAAACGTCTTACCTTTGCTGTTTTTCTGATCAAAAGCTGTGTTCAATGGCATTAAAACGATAAAGACGCTGCTGAAGGTTAATCCAATGTGTCTGTGTCACTTTGAAATGATTACTGATAATCCATCATAAGATTTATGTCAAAAACGGAGATTTCATATCAAGCTGCTATGAGAGCTATGAGAGCTGCAACCCAGCTTCCGGTTTTGGGCATTCTGGCTGCGCGTCACTCATTCACCAATGGGTAATGTTTAGATGGATTTTAGGAACTTCCCCTCGATTCTATTGGCTCTAACGGTTCAAAACAGGTAAGGTGTCAATCATCAAAATCGACCGATGGGTTCCAGAGATATGGAAAATCCACCCAAATGAACCCAGAAGTGTTTTTTTTCCCTAAAGCTCTCTAAAAAGGTCTAATTTCACTTGTTTTGCATCAATCTTGATACAGGGTACTTATTATATGTTATAGTTTGGATTCCTAAAGCTTTTAGTCTACTATCCCATCATTCAAGGGTGGTTTTCACTATAAGTAATGTTTTTTATTTTGGTCGGACACTATAATTTACATTTTTTTACTGTGTTCAATCTGAATTTACTTTAAAATAAAATAAATCTATATATTGATTCTGACTTTTCTACATCCAACTCACAGGTTTATCATTGCTTTGAGAAAAAAGATTATTAATTTACACGTTTTAGAAGTGAAGATATAGTCATTTGTTCTGGGAATGTCATTTTCGAGGCTGAGACCTATACAAGCACGGCAACTGCTTCAGGAGAAGAAAATATGTTTTACCTGTAAAACTAACATTATGACCTTATAAACTTTCGGAGAATATGTTAGGTAACTGCTGCCTATGTGTGCATCCAGCTGACAACATAAGCAATTATCTGACTTGTGTTTGTGGCCACTTGACACATGAGTCAGTTGTTGACTCACAGACTTCGAGGCGAGTTCCCGCTTAATGTGTGAGGGCTCCGGGCGGCCGTACTGTACATTGTCATTGCAACAAGGGCTCGCTGGCAGACATTTTGAGCCCTTTATGCACACTCTGTAAAGTCTGCATACATAAACACTTTGCCTGAGGGAATTACTCACAATTCATAGCATTATGAAAACAAGGGTTTACTAGGGGAGGCCTGGAAGCATAAAACATGGTAAACAAGGAGAAGAGGCACATGGGTGTTTAGCCTTGCCTATGAAATGTATACAGAGACTCTACATTTACATTAAGGATTTAAAATGGTAGTGTACACTGCAGTGGCGGATTTAGGATTGTAGGAGATCCGGGGCTTAGCCCAGGAGTTGTTGAGCGGGGGGGTTGGTGCAGGGGTAATCATCTGCAAGTGCTATTTGTGGGGAGCGGACCGAACATCCTTTAGGGGGGTCGTCGCCTCCCCTAGGGGGGTCCGGGGGCATGCTCCCCCGGGAAGATTTTTTTTTTTAATATTGAAGTTAAAAGCATCAATCTGGTGCACTTTGAGAGCAAAATTAAACCTACCTTAATAATACCTTAAAGCGGACAAAAGGCACTGGAGAACACTTATTCATTAACACCCTTTAATGAAGCAAACTAATGCCTTAACACACTCAAATACAGTCAGCAGCTGGTTGAAGTCACTTCAGATCACTGATCCAGGGAACAGGCCTCACATCCACTGAAAGAAGACAATATAAAACAAAATGAAGATTGACCATATAATTAATATGTAAAACAATAAAATAAAATGCATCTTATTCTCTTACAGTACATGTGATCCTGACTGGCACCTCATAAACTTCAGATGTAAATAAGAAACATGAAATGTATCTTATTCTCTTACATGTGATCCTGGCTGGCACCTCTGCTGTCTTTTACAGCTCTGTTCTTCACTCCCTTCTTCTAATCCTGTTTTCTTCTTTTAGTGTCTTAAAAGTAGACTGAGGTATGAAGGGTTAACGTTACATCTTAGGATAATTTTGAGTCATGTTCTGTATACATACTAACATATAAGGGCAGGGACGTGCACAGGTACGGGCTATTGTTGCCTGGGCAACGGCCCGTTTGCCCTGACCTGCCCCTCTGGAGAGAGCGAGAGTTTTTTTTTATTTTTTTCTGTTGTGGCCGAATTAACATGATAAGCCCACAATTAGTATTGTAGCGTCTCGCTGCGATAAAACACACCTTGTCAGCGCTGTCATCTGCCGGTGCGTTAAAGACCACCTCTTGTGTCGGATTTTGGAACATTTATTTTGAGTTTTCTCATGGCAGTTAGAGTATAGGCGACAAACCAGGGGACTTATCTTCCTCTTGACACCGTCTGTTATTTACAAAAAAACACCTAAATATACTTGTTATTGTGCTTCTGTCTTTCTGTGTCTTTTCATCTGTAAACTCCCTCAACCTCTCTCTCTTCTCTTGATCGCCCTCTCACGGGAGAACACTTCACTGTCCCACTTCATTGTAGGATTTCTGCCATTGTCTCTACTTCAGTTTGACCATCTCTGTTATGAAGTTATGGAATACTAAATAAATAAGTAATTAGATACCGTAGCGTTACTGCGCTCATAAAGAATGATAAGAATAAGAATAATGCGTATTGAACTGGTTTAATTAATTAGTGAGTTTATTTAAGGTAATTAGTTAGAAGCCCTATTTTATCGGTATGTCTGCACAGCAGTTACAATGGTCAAACTACATTAAAACAGAATTGTCCCCATTTTCTCTGTAATAGTTAGTAACATTAGATATTTTAATGAGATATGGACCACAAAAAAGAAAATGTCCCTGGTTTTCCTTTTATGAACTACCGAATGCAAGTAGCTTATTTTGTTACGAGATGATAATGTGAATTACTCTTCAAATTAGTTAATGTAAAAATCGTTTGGTTTCTTTTACATTAAAAACAAGTTAGAATTTTCAAAAGGTCTTATGTTTTTTTTCGGGGGGGGGAGGCCCTTTTTCCAGTTTAGAGCAATAGCCCCTCCAAATGTCTGTGCACGTCCCTGTATAAGGGCATACTTAGTGTGGTTACTCCATGTTTACTAGCTATAACATTAACGTTACATCACTCTTTTTTACTTCTTACTCAGTCAGCCAGAGTGCAGATATCACCATTAGCCTGTTATTCACTTTAACGTTAGAAAACCAGCAAAGTAAAATTTCAAATAAGATTCACAAACCTGAAACATCATCCATTTCTTCACTCCTGGTGATGACATTGTTGTCAGCTGCTGATACTGCTGCTGCTGCAGCTTGTGGCGCCTGCTTCGATGAAAATAACTTTCTAATATCCATAACTTTATAGGCTATTAGCTTAAAACTCGTCAGGCACTAGGAAGGATCACTTCTTCTTCAGGGGAGTGAAGGCTACGCAGTACGCAGGCTACTGTCCCGCAGCGGCTGCCTCTCTGGTGGACTCCGGTACTGCACATTACTCACGAGACGTTTTCACAAAAAAAAATGTTTTAAGTGAAACATCCGGGGCTTTTCAGAAAACATCCGGGGCTTGAGCCCAAGTAGCCACCCCTAGCGCCGCCACTGGTACACTGTATAAACATCAAATAAGAGGAATGCAAGCATATGAGCTAGGGCTGTGCAATTAATCGTATTTTAATCGCAATTACGATTTTGGCCTGCCACAATTACGAAAACAACATAATCGAAAAAAACAATTATTTTGCTTTGCTAGGTTGTGACAGTGCACTGCAACATATTTGATCTAATTAATTTTGGTCTCATATATTTGTATTTATCATATTTATATATGTTTAGTAGCTTGTTGAAGTGCGCTCCAAAATATTTGTTGATCTTGTTTATTGGTATTTATTATTTTGATATTATTTATTTAAATGTATCATTTATTTTATTTATTTTTGTATTGGTTTTTCAGTTGAATTATACGTTCAGGGTAATCAACAGTTAAAAAGATACTGTTCAAATTATTATTTGTATTTGTTTTAAAGTTCTATAAATGGATTTTTTCAAAGTCAATGAATAATCGTATTTAATAATCGTGATATCAATTATTGACCCAAATAATCGTGATTATGATTTTTGCCATAGTCGCACAGCCCTAATATGAGCTATATTGCATAACGTTTTTACTCAAACCGTATCTTTTATTATTGCCCAAAGGTGGAGTTGTTGATTATAATATATAATATGCATATAAAATGTCCTGTTTGTACTGTTTGTGCCTGAAAATATTCCAGGGTTCATATCCATGTTTTTTTATTTTTTATTTAGCCATTCAATCTGCTTTTATTAAGCCTTGTGTACAGCTGGTTGCTAACGATGCCTTATGATGAACGAGGTAGTGTACTGTGGGTTTATCAGAGCTTAAAGCAGCGCTCTGCCGCAGCTTAACACATCAATAGTACAAAACAGCAGGCAATCAAACAGAAAAACAGTTCAAGTCCAGCCTTAGACTGTCTTTGAGTAGAGCTGAGAGGAACTTTGGGTGATAATTCTCTGTGTGTTCTTAATATATAAACAAAATATTACAACTTTGAAATCCTTATTCAATTAGATTTTAATAAAAATACATTGAATACTTCCACTTTAGATTATTTTTCTGTAATCTACGTATGAAGGTGATTTCCATCTCTTTTTCACTTCTACAGGGGGTTACAACATCAATGATATCATGTTCTACTGGACCAGAGGAAACGAGTCTGTCAGCGGATTGGACACCCTACAGCTGGCCCAGTACACCGTAGAGGATCACTACACTTCTGTCTCAGAGGCCGTCTATGAAACTGGTAACAATGACCTTCATCTCTCAATGTCACATGTAGTGGGGCGGGGTTGGAACCAAATGCAGGACAAATGACGAGTTAACAGAAAATATCTCTATTTTAGGTTTAATCCAGACAAGGCAAGCTAAAACAAACAGAATATAACTTCACGTTGAACATCATACAACAATTCAACCAAGACTAACAGAAAACCAGCACTTGAATATAATCTGAACTAATGAGGGGATAAAGTGTAGGTGTACAGGAGGTCAGGTGGTTGCAGAGCTGATTGGGGAAAGGTGGAACTAATAAGGCCAGTTCCGATAATCAAAAAGGTGGGGAAACACAAAAAGACAGAAAACAAAAACAGACATGACGCAGATGTAAAAAATAAAACAGGAAACAGCAGTTGTTCAATAGTGTAACATCAAATCCATATGGGTAACATATCAGATACATATCACATGTTTCTGTTGTGAAGTACTGTACATTGACACACTTTTGTCCTTTTGTCCCAAGGCAACTACCCGAGGCTGGTGTTCCACTTTGAGCTGAAGAGGAGCATTCTGTACTTCATCCTGGAGACCTACGTCCCCTCCAGCCTGCTTGTTGTCCTCTCATGGGTTTCCTTCTGGATCTCCCTGTCCTCTGTTCCAGCACGCATTTGTATAGGTACGAGTACAAAGACATGTTTCTTACCCTGATATTTTCTCTTTAGTACAAGTATTTGTATGGCTACACAAAGATGAGATATATTTTACTCTCCTTTTGTGAGCAAAGATGTTGGTTCTTAGATTTAAAGGGCTGAGGGGTTGAAGAGAGCATCTGTGACATTGGTGTTTTTAAGTGGGAACATTCAAACTTAGATGTTGCCTTGAATTACATCTGCCACTACTGCAGGGGGCTTGAGAACACCCCGTTCTCAAACCTTAAAAAGCACACTGGATTTAAGGGGCTACATTTTGGTGAGGTCAATGCTCAAATCAAATCAAGTTTTATTTATATAGCACATTTTTAAGACGATTTTTGGTCGAGCCAAAGTGCTGTACATATAAGAATTACCTTACAGTAAGGACACTTTACAGCAAATACAACAGCACAGTTTGTGCAGAATATCAGTATGAGAAAACGACACCCTCTGTCCTTAGACCCTCACATCGTACAAGGAAAAACTTCCGGAGAAAAAACCCACAGTTTAAAGGGAAAAATGGGAGAAACCTCAGGGAGAGCAACAGAGGAGGGATCCCTCTCCCAGGACGGACAGAAGTGCAATAGATGCCGTGTGTAAGAGATAATACATTTTACAGCGTAGGTAGACCGAATGTTTGGAAATGCATGTGTCTATAATAAGAAGATGAATCCACGAAGATGTCAACAACAATCCTGTGGGAGCCATCAGGGAAGCAGCATGACGAGACCCAGGCAGGACCGCAGAGACAGGCCCAGCCACGACCCGAAGTCCACGACTTAATCCAGAACTCAGGATAGAGGATCCAGGGCACAGGACCACATGCTCACTTAAAAAGAATGACACAAAGAATAAGCTTTGACAGCAGAGACAGAATTCCTCAATGTTGGCTTTTTTTTAAAGTATAGTGAGAAAGGCAGATTGGAAAAATATAACAACTGATCAAATAAAAGTTGCTTAACAATGTTATATTCTGTGTTTCTTTGCTCCAGGTGTGACCACGGTCCTGACCATGACCACTCTGATGATGGGAGCCCGGACGTCACTGCCCAATGCCAACTGCTTCATCAAGGCCATCGATGTTTACCTGGGAATCTGCTTCAGCTTCATCTTCGGAGCTCTCATCGAGTACGCCGTGGCGCACTTCTGCAGCCTCAGTCACATGGACTCACACATCTTCATGGTGAGACCCTCATGGATATACTGTTTTATAGCGTTGTTTAAATAACATTTTAAGGGGTTTTGTTTTAACCTGATAAAAGGGCACCCACTAAACTGAGTTTCAGAAATGCCATTAGTTCCTGCATGTGATGTGAAATAAAAAAACAATATTAAAGCAATATTGTGTAACGTGATGCACACGTCCCAACTGTTATACAATTGGTGCCCTCAATGGGATAACTATCAAGTTTGGATGCTAGAGTTGTTAATAAGTCACAGGGAATCGCTTTGTGTTACTATTTTTAAGACTCGAGGTTGCCAAATCTTGTGTAATAACATCCATATTATGTAAGAAATCCACAAAACAATAAAAACATTTTAAATGTATTATGGAATGACAGCTGTCTTTGTAAGAAACCCATTTTGGTTGCTTATTTCATAACGCATGTATTATTTTATTATTTGTATTATTTATTTATTATTTATTATACGAAAAAGCAGCTCAACTGAAGGCAACTCAAGACCTGCCATGTGCATGTCCTTCCTGTGTTACTGTTCATTGTTGGAGTCATTGCTGTTGTTGTGGTCACAGTCATTGTCTTCATAATGGTGGTCATTGTCCTCCTCGTCATCTACATCATGTCATCATGAGCATTTTGGGGTAAGTTGAACAAGTTCTCTCAAATCTGAATGTAACTTATTTTGACTTCAGTTAAAATCTCATTCTCTTTTTGTCTCCCAGCATTACGGCCACCACATGCACGACCTGGACGACGAAATGAACGGCATCATCACCACCATCTCCAACCACAACAGGGCCAAGAGACGCAAGGAGGCTGCCGCGACTCAGACCCCGGCTCCCGCCTCCCTAGAACTCATTGTTAGCCCGTCCAGCCCCTCGGGCAGCGAGCCGAAGCCCGAGGCGCCCCCCCCGGAGCCCACCCACTGGTGCTTCACTGCTCTGGCCACGGTCCGCAAAGTGCTCCGCTCCTTTACATGCTGTACCGTGGAGAACCCCCACCACATAGACAACTACTCCAGAGTCACCTTCCCCCTCTCTTTTGTCATGGTTAACCTGCTCTACTGGACATATTATCTGTACTTTTAGCATCAGCTCGAGTGCAGCCCGTTTCCCAGAGAGAGTGTTTGTAAACAAGAAGTGTATTTTACTGTATGTATATGTACAGTAAGCGTCATTTAGGTGTGTTTTGAGATGAGTGTGTATTATTTCTGCATTTGGATTCATGAGCGAAGTGGAATTCTCACATAGATTTTCTGGGAAATGCTTATGATTACAGCTCCATTTTTAAATATGAATGTGAACTCGGATCGAGCCATTGCTTTAAATGTAATGCGGCTGGTGTTGGTTACAAATAGGATCATTTAACACTGACAGGGTAAGATTTAATCAATGCTGATATGCGTTGAGAGGAAAATTGCTTGCAATGGAAAACATGGCAGTCTACATCTTTTTTTTCTGTAGTATGATTTATTTTACGCAAATCTCCGTGCAGGTAGTTACTGTCAGACATGGAGAGGATGGAGCTGTAATCTAAGGCTGTCTGACAGAATATGCTATCTTTGCAGAGGGAGAGCAAATGCCCGTTTTCTTTTTTTCTGCTGTGATGGATTAATTATTTGTATAATGTCATCTTCCATTTCTGCCTGCAGATGTACCATTTAGATGGAAATAGATAAATTAATGGATGAGAGAAGAGTGATTAAAAATAAATACAAGCTAGAGAAATAACTCAACAGACTGTTAGTTTAACCAGGCTCTCAAGGACGGACACTTCCATTCGCTGTTGAAATCTCTCTTTGTTCTTTGTACATCTAAGAGTTATTTTTAGTTCCCTAAGCAGTGCTATCTCTCTCTGCCTGCATGTATTTGTTTCATTGACACTATAAATGCAGTGGCCTTTGATCCCTTCAGTTGTGTTCTGAAAATCTTGCCACTGTGAGCGTGAACAGTATTAGTACACGTGTCCTCCCGAATCTGTCCTGCAGTTTCACAAGGAAGGGAATGAAACCACAATATGTTGAACAACAAAATACATGTAATCAATATATAACCATATTAATTAATATATTAGTATGGTTCATTTATTCAACAAATTCTGAAATAGTTTTTTAACCTCAACTATCATACCCTTTCTTTTATTATTTCTATTTTTTAAAACCTACTTTTGTTATAGTGACATTTACACAAACAACACATCTTTTCATCTTTTTTTTAACTCTAAGCCTCAGGCAAGATTCACGTGTCATCACCGAATTTTGACAAGCTAGCTCATGTTAGCTTGAGACAAAACAAAGCTAAAGTAATTGATGCTGCTGCTGAAAAAACTGTGCAAAGAGTAGGAGATGACCTATCCTACTATTTGGTTTGACATGGCTATAATATATGACCTACCTATCAAGCTAGCTAGCTAGGAAAAGGTTGTTAGCTTGGCTTGTTTACTTTTTGAGGAGCCAGTGTTAGCTACCTTGCTAAATCAAGTTTACATTTTTTTTAATTAATAATTTTTACAATTGAGAGAACCCCTTGCAACCTTATTTCATAAACAATATGGGGAAGCGAAAAAACATGTAGCATTGTTTGTTCATGTAGCATTACATACAGTAGAACAACAAAATGCCAATTTCTTGACTTGCAAAAAGATGTTTAAAATTAACAAACATCATATACAGTATGTAGGCTATGTCATGTAACCTTCAAAGGAGATTAACAACTTATTAGTCTCTCGGTTTTCACTTCTGTACATATATTTTCGGGGAAAGAAGGCCCTATTAATAATGTAAAATGTGTTTTGGCCAGGTGTTAAAATTGTGGATGTATACACCTCAAAAGACAGGTAGTGATTCATGTAGCACTCTTCATGGTCTGCTGGTAGTGTTTCTCAGAGTGCTTTTGTAAAATATAAAGCAGTAGTCAGAACTAGATGTGATAGACTTTGTAGAATGATTTGAATACGAATGAAATTGCCAAAATATTTCAATACGATGTCATCATCTGAGCATTATCCAAATGGAAAACGGCCTGGATATGCTACGCTTGAGGTATCGGTTCTCTGCTCAGTTTTCTATGCCGTCATATTTCACTGTGCGAGTTTTGAGTCTTTTAGTTCAGGTGATACAGTATGTTTGCTACAAATGGCATGAACCCAAGAGCCAAAGATTACAATTTGATTTCCTCTTTGTTTCCCTTTAGTTTCTTACCTAGGAGATCTTGAAGTGCATTTTCAAATGTTAATCATGTTCGTTATTGATAGGATAACTTTGAAATAGCATGCAGTCAATAAGCAGATAAACATGACACTTTACATTTCAGATAGAAACAGGATTCAGTTTAACAACAGAGATGCATGATTATTTATTGATGTATTCAATTATTACTGTGACATACACTCACTCATTCCATTTCAATTTTAACAACATTCGATGTGTATTGAACATAATCTAAATTGGTAAATATCTATTGACCTCATTGTCATGGCCTTTTAAATCGTTTATATGTTCCTCTTTATCTGCATTGCTTCATCAACTACAAACAATTTAACGGCTTTCCTTGCCTGATGAAAATAGAAAAGTTTATGTTTGTTCTTACTGCATGGTTTTCAAGTGCAACTTTTTGTTTATTCTGCTTTGCTCAATTTCCTTTTAGTTAAATATGATGGAGAAGACTCATCATAAAATGCTCAGTTGAGGCTATTGAGGGGACCAGATTGGTAATAAAGCCAAAGGTGGACACACAAGTGCAGGACGTTCAAACTCCTGTTCTCATTTTTTGTTATTTGAATCTAATAGAAATGATCAGTTGCACTGTTCATTGCTTTTGAGTTGCTCTGTGGAAGTCAGTTAGCACTGACCCATTAAAAAGGTTAATGTAAGAAGACCAAGACGGTCAGGTTTTATACATCATGCCTGCAGTTGTAGTTTTTATAGCCATCTTCTCAGTGAACGGTACAAGAAGTGAATGTCAATATGGAGCCAAAGAATCCTAAGAGCAACCACACATAACATTGTATTCACTCTGTGTTGAAGTCCATACACAAAGCTCAAGAGAAGCAATTGTCCGATGGCTCCACGTCGCTACTGTATTATCAGTGCTGCTTTGCTCGGACTGATCAGCATTAAGATGGTAACAAATACCCAAGGAAGATGAGAGTACTTCAGAATTATAACTATGAAACAGAATATTATGGCAAATGGGACTTTTTGAAACAGAAAAATGGCTACCGTTGGACTGCCCTTACTTTCCTGTTGTGTTGAGTGTCTAATTAGCGCCTCAAGGTGACGTTGGCTTCCAACCTCACAGTTCCTGGGATATCTTCATGTGAAATGTATTTATATACTATGCTAATATAGGCATCGGTTTGCATAACATGTTGTAAATAAATAGTAACACTGTGCATGTTTATTCGATGTATGAATATGAATGATAGCAATAAAAGAGGTTTAACGTGTGTATTGGTTGCATTGGTTTATAAAGAACGCATCATTTAACAGAGTTGTTTCTATATCCGCAATATCTAAATTAGAAGTGCAGTGGGTTGGACTTGCTAGCCTACAGAAATGCAAATGTATTTTTGTGGGTTCCAGATGATAGGGCATAGATGTCCCAGCGGGAGTGTTGGAGAATGTTAGGATTCATTTCCTGCAGCTCCATTTGCTCTGACTCAGCAGAATTCAGAGTGAGAGGATGGTCATCATGTAGTGCATACCCCAACACACTCTCACTCCATAAACGTCTAGGAGCGACGCTTGGTCAGGGTCCCGAGGTGTGCAGTTGGGACGCTCCTAGGCTCCTTCAGCTTCATAAAGGGACGCAAATAGCTTTCAACTGATTGCAATGTATTCCCATCTGCGGCGGGATTTGACGCTCATGGAAGCACGGCATTCGTTTGTGTCGGCGGCATTTAAAGGCAATGTGAGCGTCCATTCCCATTGGATAACGGAGAATTGTACACCCGGAAGTAAGTATTCCCCTTACTGTCGATTGATTTGACAGTGATATCTGCACTACTCATCAACTCAAAAACACCAGATTATCCTTGTTAATTACACAACATTGATTGGTTTAAATTGTGTGCAATGCTTTTGTATTTTTCCCCTTCGATTCGGAGAAACAAATATTTTTTCGGAGTTTAGGATGGCAGAAGACACTACACTACCCAGAATCCCCAGCTATCATTTAGGACTACACCATGTGCTTTGTTTGACAAACCCCGTGATTAGTTCTCAAGCTCTGTGATTGGTTGACCTCCAACTGCATTCCATATGAAAAAAAACGTTTCGTAAAAGATAAAATCATACTTTATTCAGCAGTGCTTGCTTTACTCTTTGAAAGTCATCACATGAATGCATTGTAATGAATCTGTCGTAGTTCTTTATTTATCTACAGCAGGGCTCTCCAACACGTCGATCGCGAGCTACCGGTAGCTCGCGGGCAGCTTTTCAGTAGCTCGCCGCTCGATTATCGATTATAGCGTAGTAAGGTTGCTTATTGATTTTTCGGCCGCGGCTGGACAATAACGTTTTTTTATTTTAGAATTTTTTCTGTCACACGAATATCAAATGGTCGGTGACGCAGAGATCAAGGAACAGACGTGACAGCAGCACAGCGACAACACACACGGAGCAGTCTGCTTTCTCCACCAGCACCAGTCCAGAACCAACAGCAGAATGACCCGCTCTGAATCAGGCCCTGTCGCTGCGGCTCAGAGACACACAGGGAGGGATTTGTGTTTTTTGAAAAACACTCGTTATCGTCATGTCAGGTTTTTGGTGGATTTAATCAAGTCTTGTATTGCAGAGTATGAATGTCCTCTTGCTATTTTCAGTTGATAAATACTTGTGTAAAGTTTGTGAAGGCAGGAGGAAAGCTTCCGCGATCACCGTCTCCTTTCCGTTCCTCCAAACCCCGCCCCCTCCCTGAAAATAACGAGTGACAGGCTGATAGTGACCCGATAGAAACTTTATTATTCACTTAATCACTGATTGAGATATGATGAAGCTAACTTAATCTCATACATTCATGGGATTTATGTAACAGTAAGACAGAGAATGTAAGTGTGCACCCACATACACTATTTTTGTTTTTATAATGCTGTTGTAAATACTCCTGTTGTCTGCTGTGTTCTGACTTAAGTCCTGTGTGTGATGCCACATTCAGGAGATTCAGTGTCCTTTTTTTAACAGAAGACCGTAGCTAAAAGCTGCAGCTAGACTGCAGAAGTATTAGTTTTTTGTTTTTGAGGATGGAACCATTTTCACACACAGATATAGGGAGGCTAGACCTATACAATTGATTTATTATGGTTTATAATTTAATGTCAAGACGAAGAGGAAGAAGAAAAAGATGGCTGAACAACTGTTCAGTGTCAATCCTGTGGAGATCTCCAAAATAATGTTCAGCTTAAGTCTCAGCAAAACTCACAACATTTCTGGAGCCTTGTAGACCCCGAAAACTATAGAACATTCACCAAGCAGCACTGAAAATGTCTGCTTTATTTGGTTCTGTTCTACATACCTTTG